AACTCTTGTGCTAATCGGTAAGCTTTGTTGTTTAAAATAAAGGGCCAATTGTCAATTTGCAGGAACTTCATTCCAAATTTTGAAATATAAAACACATATTTGTGCACTTCTTCTAAAAAAATGTGATACATTTGAGTTCATTTTGAGCTACAGTGTCTCTCTAAAGGTGACATTTAGAGAATTTTGCTTCTTCCTAGGGGCGCCTGGTGTTGGGAGAAGCCACATCAAAAATTCTCTTTTAACAAAATACCCTGAGAAATTCACTTACCCTGCACCACGTGAGTAGAAAGACTGCTCACTTGTTTTGTTGTTTTTTGGGTTTTTGTTTTTTTTTTGCTCATCTCGTAGAGCTGTTTCCGTTTACTCTTTAAAGTTGAATGTGCGCAGACACCACCAGGCCCCAGCGAAAGGACGAGGAGAACGGACAGGAGTATTACTTCATCTCAAACGAAGACATGACCAAGTGCATCTCCAAAAACGAGCTGCTGGAATACGGCAGCTTTCAGGGATTCATGTTCGGAACCAAGTTCGAGACCATCCACAAGATCCACGATCAAGGCAAAGTTGCCGTGCTGGACATAGAACCACAGGTCAGCGTTTTGGACTCTTGGCTTCTTAGATCTGACATGATGTACAAATGTCAAACAAAAACAGTAGGAATTATGTGCTTTAAACAGTTGGGTCTGAATATTGGATTTTCACTTTTTTTTATGGTGAGGTTATATTAATGAAAAAAGAACATATGGTAATTCATTTAAACTCTTTTTATCCACCTCAATCCAGGCTGCCAGTACATTTTGGATGCTGTAATAATTCCAACATTACACTTTACATTCGCACATGTTCAGTCCAACTGTAGCATTTTGAAAACAGCCAACATCCTCACATTTCAAAAGAACCCTCATTTAAGGAAATTTCAAAGGTAGAAGAGAGACCGTGTTTTGATTTCTGCTACACTAGATGATTATGTTTTATGTAATGAAACTAATAATATTGTTTCCAACTGCCAGTTTATTGAATGGTCATTCCTCTTCCAGACCCTGAAACTTGTTCGGACTGCGGATTTTGCTCCACTGGTGGTGTTCATCGCTCCTACTAACACAGCTGCACAGGTGCTACATGCAAAAACAAAACAAAAAAACAACAAAAATAATGCCTCTAAAAATAATTAAGTCATTCTTTATGTGCTTTTTTCACCTTTTGTCACATTACAACTACAAAAGTCAATGCTTTACTGGAATTTTATTTGGTAGACCATCATAAACCTGTTCATAGTTGTGAAGTTCATGTTTTTTGATGCATTTTGCTTTGGGGTGTCAGAGTGTAGGGGAGCTGTGATTTAGAAAAATGTTTTATATATATATATATATATATATATATATATATATATATAATTTTTTTTTTACTTTATTTTATATTTATTTTACCAGGAAAATCCCATTGAGATCAAAAGTCTCTTTTTCAGGACAATCCTGGCCGAATATTATAATTTTATTAATCTACCTAAAACTACTATGCTAATTTATCTGGATTTGTCACATTATTTTTATAAGTACAAGAAGTTCTGAATACTTTTGCAAAGCATGGTAGATTTGTTTGAAAAGCTGAACAAAGTAATAATAATAATAAAAAAAAAATGATCTGATATTTATTTTATTTATTTATTTATTTATTTTTGCAGACTGAAAACCTTCAGATGATCCAGAAAGAGTCGGACGCCATTTTGAGCACATACGGACACTACTTTGACGTGGTTCTCGTCAACAACGACGTAGACGAGAGCGTGAAAGGCGTGGAGGAGGCCATGGAGCAGGCCACCTCCACCCCACAGTGGGTGCCTATATCGTGGGTCTACTGAGAAAGGGCCGTCCGGCGCACGTTTGATTCAGAGCCGCGTTCCCAAACGTGGGCGCAATACGTCACTCCTTCCACCAAACCTCTGAGTTAGCGGCGCGTTTGATTCCTTTGCACTGTTGTTTGCACAATAAAGCAATATGTAGAAAGGATGACCTCGAAAGGGTGTTTTAAATATGTTCGGCTTTAGGTGCTGCACACCTCTTGTGATAGCTGACAGATTATCAAATGCAAAACAGGACCTCAACTGTGAAAGATATAAATGCTTTAAAGTAAAAATAAATTGTCGCGTGACACATCGCCTCTAATGATCCTCTTTTCTGATCCCATTAGATCGAGCCATGAAATGAAAGTTCTCAGACTCTGCTTGTTCTGTCTGTGTAACTCCATACAACACCCTCAGCACAAAACCTTCTAGTCGACCACTGACAACCTCGCAGGGTTTTACACTGGATTTTCTCCAAACTGTATTCGTTATGGGGGGCTGTAAAGGCACTTTTCAGCAAAATAAAAACAGAAAATAAACAGCTCCTAGCTCTGTTGCAATGTTGTTTTTCATAATTCTTTTTCTCTCTCTCTCTCTCTCTCTCTCTCACAAAATCTGATGTAAATAAATTTAGATAAACTGAAGTGAAGGAAAAAAAAATACACACTTTGATTTACGTCTCAGTCCATCGTGTTGAATAATAGTGGTGCGTTTCAAAAAATCATTTAAAGTTAAAGTTCCTCAGAATAGCTTCTACTGACATTATATGCAAATGCATTAGGAAGTCTTCACATTCTATTCTAAAGTAAAAACATTCAAAAATGCTTGCTTTATCCCAAATGGGAATTAAATGCTGCAACATTTAATATCCAAGTGTCTTCAAAGAGTCATTGTGGATGGTGATGTGGACAGGAAGGATCTCCGGTAGCTTTAGAGATGTAAAAAATCTCAAAAGCACACAAGTTATTGCCATACTTCTGTATCATAAATGTCCAAAAGTAAGAGCAAAATTCCTTCCAGCAGCACGACATCCAAAACCAGCGGGAATAAATGTCCTAACATGCAACATTTCAACATAAACAAAAAATAAATCAATTGAAGAACAATTTATCAAATTTGCTGACAGTCTCTAAAAAGTGAAGAAAATACATTTTAGGTTGTTTAAAAAAATAAATGTGCCTTTTATTTATGTTCCATTTTTGTAAATTGATGGGACATTTAAAAAAAAAAAAAAAAAAAATGTCCCATTAATTTACATTTTGTCTGTTGCCAAAGAGACAGACACTTCTTCTGTTCCTGCTGCATTCCGCCTGCTAATCTTCTGGGTCAAAGTTGGGAGAGCATCTCATGTTGGCGTGCTGTGCCACATGACCGTGACATTGTGACAGAGATGGTTACTAAGGCAACGTTCACTGTCTTTTCGAGTTATTCTTAGTGTCGCAAAGCTGTCCTCTGGCACCACCATGTGGTGAAACCAAAAACTGCAGGTACGACGCGTCCCTAAAAGATTGCTTAACGTTACGAATAATCAAATAGCTTTTAGTTATCAACGTTGTCCTTCCTCTCAGGAAGTAAAGCTGTTCAGAGTGTGGTCATACAAAATCTATGACAGGGAATGTCGGTTTTGAGTGTGAAATAACAGAATAATGAGCCAAATGAATGTGGAAATGAAACCATATTTTATTTTGAGCAACTTGATATTTCTGGAACAGTTAGCACAGATTACTGGGTAAGATATTTGTAGTTATAGGGAACTGGTGGTTTTTTTTAAAGTAGCTTTAGAAAACTGAAGACACACATTCAAATTCCTGTAACCTTTTTTTCTTCCTTTTTTATCCTTTATCCTGGCTGGATATTTGATCAAACTTCTTGGTGCAAAGAACCAACATTATGATCCAGAAGGTGCTGGAAGACCCAATAAGAAGAGCATCCTTCTTCCAGAAGCATACAGTTGCCAGCTAGTAAACAGGAAACTGATCAACTTTGGATCCAGGAATTTTTTTTATTTATTTTTTTTTTTTTTAAGATGTAGGACCTTTTCTTGCCAGCAAAGAAATATGTCATGTGGGTTTTCTCCCTGATAGAGTCCTTGAAGGCTGGCAAAGAGACAACAGCTTCTTCTGTTTCAAAGTTTTGTTGATCATGTCACATGATCAAGCTGTGACATTACTCCTAGAAACTGAAGGTGGATTAATACAGAGCATTCTGGTATTCAGAGTTTTTATATCAGTATCTGTGTAGTTCAGTCCTTATTTTTGGGCGGAAGGGTCTTCCAGTAGCAGTCAGTGTTGCAACAAATCTGAAGAAACCTATGACTGAAGACGGTTGCTGTGACCGTCTCATGACTGTAATGACATTCTAACAACTCAATTTTCAGCCAGTAGAGATGATACTCCACAATATTATGTCCTTAAAGAGCCCATCAGTTGCTGGTAAGCACAGCTAACCCACCTCATTTACTTTTGCTGCTCTCCATTAAACTTTAACAGCACTGTAGAAAAATAAGCAAAGCTGATGTTTTTGAATCAGGCTTAATGCCAAACTATTTGGATGAACCTTACTGTTTCCGATAAGACGAGTAGTAAATGTGGACAAAATTATGCCATCGGCAACAAAAAGGATTTTTTTTAAGTTTTATGTAAATATCAAAATTCATATTCTGTCTCATAATTTTCCTCCAATAATCTCTTCAGTTATTTCTGAAGCCAATGCACTGACAACCTATTAAGAGAGAGTGCAACAGTGTATATTTGTGTAATTTTCATTGTAGCCCAACTCTGAAAGAAGGAACTATTTGAGAAAAGTGCTATTAAAATTAATATACATTATATCTTTTCACTTAATATTCATTAATTCATATTTTACGACAATTGTATGAAAACACCGAAGGAGGAGGAAGGAACCAAACTTGAAACATCTGTCATTACATGAATTAAACACATCCAAAATAAAGTGTTAAATGTAAAGCATCAGTCCAAAAATATAAGTTACCTAACTATAAGGGACATGCTAGACAATTTAGTCTAAGGTAGTCTTATGCCCCAGCATGTCCAACATTCATGTTTACTATGAATGATAACAGGCACCCAGTGTGAGCCTCGCCACACCCCCTTTCCAAGAACGCCATTTTGTTGACATACAGTCTTGAAATCAACATTAGCTCTATTTGAGGACCTTAAAACTCCGTTCTGCACAGAACATGTATGGTCTTTGAAGAGCGTCCGAGGAGACATCCAGTTACTGTATCCGAGGATAAAAACAGCCCTCTCCGAGGAGGTAAAGCGGTGTGTCTGAAGTGTAAGCCACCCATTTCAACATGAAACTCGCCGCTGCTGACGTCACCGAGCCATCTTTGTGCACCTAATCCAGGCGGCTGTTTATTACACCTTCATTACCACACAGACCCGGGCTCTACTGACAGCCTGCAGGTGCCGCATCGTCACAAACAAGGAGGAAAACAGAAAGAGAACCCTTTTGTAGTGCGGGGACACAATTCAGTGCTCCTCCTAGGATATATAGGCAGGGAAACGCCACAATAACCAACCAAAGGCTGCCAGAGGGTAGAGAGGAGCGCAGAAGGCAATCCACATCCATCTGCCAGCCACTTAGTGCGCGCTAACATCTCCAGTCCGGATTTCAGCGCAGCTGTCGAGCTAATACAACCAGGAAAATGTAAGTACAAGCACCCTTGTAATGCTAATTTGAAAATAAAATCCCGAGTTGATACAATTCCGCACTGACGACTGAAATTGATAAGCTATTTTGGGGATGTGCAGCGACTTCTCCGCTGTATCACGTAGCTTTTCTCAACTGTCACGATATTAATAGTCGAAGATTGTTGGATTTAATTTCATTTTAGGAGCCGTCTCTGTCTGATAACGTGAGCCGAACGTGAACACAGACGCTAACGAATCGGCCTAACCTTGGAGCAGATGGAGGCATCGGGTTTATCTCTCTATTAGGGGCATTATTAGCCGTATAATGTTCTCTTTTTAAACGAACGAGGCCGACTGTTTTTTCTTTTCTTTTTTTTTCTTCTCGCTTTCAGTTGGTCGTCCGATGAATTCTCGCTCGCGCCTGTACGCACGCGCGTGTATATATATATATATATATTTTTTTTTCCAGTTTGGACTGGTTTGAAATGAAAAGGACACCAGTCTATGAAACCACACACCGAGTCAATTAAACGTATGTAATAACGTGTTGTCTAACATGGACATTTTTTTAGTGAACACACTCACGGCTTCGTTTTGGTGTTACCGAACAGCAGGTGACGAATTAAGCTAATTCCAGAAGCAGCAAGGACACAAAGCTCAACAAACCCTGACTGTTTCAGCCGCGTCAGTCTTTTGAGGGTTCAAAGTGTCGACAGTAATTGCCGAATATTCCAATATGTTATTATTTTTGGCAGAAATATTAGGCTTGAATTTGGTTTAGGCCTAGTTCCCGTGATATTTGTAACCTACAGCGGGGGGTGGGGATAGCCTAGCCTCCTACTGTATGTCGTCGATTGTCATGCGAGGGCGGACAGCTACATATCTGTCCACATTTCTTCTTGTTCGTGATACCTCGGTTAAATAATACAAACTAAATATATTTATTGATGCATTTTGTTATCTGCTGTATCATTTCGATGGATTTTGTTTTTAAAAGGTGGAGGTAAAGAAAAGGCAGCATTATAGTTCCGTCTGCCAGTCTTTATATGACATTTAAATTGCCTCGTGCCAGCAACATATCACCCACCCGTGGCATCACGCTCTATAAGTTTTTTCTACATTTGTGACCAGAATAGAAAACGTCTACATAAAGGCACTGAGAAGCCCGAACCCCATCCTCGTTAGTGTTATAAGATTTAATAGTTGTAATAGTCACACATGGCCTTATTGTAGCTCCATAGGACGTAATGGTGGACCTTAATGTATGAGCAAAGTCATGTAACATCAAACAGAAAGAGACAGAGAGGCTTAGATCAGACGGCTGCTGATGAGGGATGCTGAGGCGCTGTCCAGTGCTGAAATGTCACTGTCCAGTACTGAAAATCAAACGGCATGCATTTCCAGTCACAACATTTTATTTAATAAATTATTTATAAAGCATAGTCACAAACAACTTCGATAAAACTGAAGTAGAGGAGAATTCTAAACCACAAAAATGTTTGCGAACTAAAATAATTTCTTAAGGTTCACAAACCATGGTTTATTTAAATTAATTGTGTTTTGTTATAAGAATTACTTGGCAATATAGTTGGGTCTTAAAGAGTGATATGGTTTCACTTTGAATTGCATTTGCATTTGAAACCTTACATAAAATTGATTTTGCTGTAACCAACAGCCTATATGGATACTGGTATTGGAAATGAGTTTAGACTATAAATACATGTTTTCCTATTGAAATAAGCTAAGCAATAAATCTAAAGAAGTAAATGAAAAAAAAAATAAAGAACCAAAAATATATTTTAAAAAAGGGAATAGAATATTTACATAATCAAACTAAATGATAAAACAGTATACAATATTCAAACAAAGGAAAAACTTTTCAAAAAAGATGTCTATCTATCTATCTATCTATCTATCTATCTATCTATCTATCTATCTATCTATCTATCTATCTATCTATCTATCTATCTATCTTAAGGATCCATCAGTGTTTCAGCAGCCTGCTTTATAAGCCACAGGGAAAAACTATATTAATAAGCACTGTCTCAAAACAGGGTTGAATATATTTAGCTTTCACAGCAAATCTCACATCAGCAGTAGCCTGTAGAGTCATGCGAACCCTCACCTTCCCCGTTTGTCATTTCAGCTGCCTTTGCCAGATCACATTTCCTTCAGCATCTTGTTTTTTTTGTTTGTTTGTTTGTTTTCAGAGCCATGTTACAACAGACACAACACTCATTTGCTTATCAAGCTGCATCTATATTCTGACTAAGCTTCAGTTTTAGAAATTCAAGAAGACTCCCCTGCGCTCAGCATGTTCAGACAGAACAGTAGAGTGGCAGTAAATCCACACGGCTGGATTGAAACACAGCTGGCGGTTTTTCACAGGATGCGGAAGCTGACGAGTAACCTCGCCGCTGCGCTGGCAAGTCTTCCCGGCGTTAGTTGGGAGGTGATGACAGCATGAACATCTACACACATTGTGCCTTTGTCATGGTGCTCATTGGAGGCGCACACACACAAAAAACACACACACACACAGCGACGACACATGTTAAAAGATTATTTTTAAGCAGTAAATGCATTTGCTGATTTGGACAAATTTCAGTTCTAATGGGACAGTTCTAAAAAATAAACGTACCTTAGAGTGCTGTGTCTCTGACTGCTTGGGAGGGCGTTGACCTCAAGCACCAATAGGCCAACTGTTCTAAAGGATTTGTTTGTTGTTAACGGATTAGTAATGTCTGATCATAAAGGGTTGACCTTTAGACAGAGTTACACAAAGTCAACTCTTTAAAACTCCAACCTGTGCAAATGAATAAAAACAAAGCCTATGAGCAAAAGTGCACTGATATGACCTTACTGGGCAAAGGCCAAGTTTTGATTTGATTTTAGGTCAAATGTCAATATTTTAAACTCATTTATTCACCGTGAAAGATAAACATGCTCCACATTCCTTGATGAAAAGGACTGGACTATCCCAGTTTGTATGTCAAAGCACATTTGACAGCTTTTTAGTAAGATCAAAATAGACTGCATGAAGAAACTGAAAAACATTTTCAGTTGCACGAATTCAATGAAAGGGAAAGAAATGGAACATTTTCCTTGTTTGACCTGTTAATTGCCTTTATGGTTTACTTTTCTTTATTCTGTTTTACATCGCTGAGCTCCATAGTCTTCCATTCTTCATCATTGTACCAAACGCACAATGAAAGAGCGTAACATATGGCGCCTAAATAAGCACAGCAGTGGATGATTAAAAAAAAAAAATTATCTGCATTCCCAATCACTTTGCTGTACAGAACAGGGTACCAAGTAGCTGTTACATGTTACCATGGGAGGCATTTCCCTTGACTCTCTCACTTTTCAGTCATAAAATGACACTTTCGCTTTAACTTTCTGTCAGTCGCTGCAGCCATCATCTGTGGACATTCAGCTTTTGCAAAAGCCCGCAATTGCGCTCTCAGATCCCGATCACGTCGGATCTTCCGCAATGGATGGAACTACCAATAACTTATAGTAACTTTTAATTAAATGAATTAGGCACTCCAAAATTAGGTTTGTTCTCCTTTTAGTATTTTTCTACAGATCATAAATACCTAGTATTTGAACTCCAGCTGTAGCAAATCACCGTAAGTTGAATTTGAACTTAAAAGATGTACTTGATTTATTTCTCGACGGTTTGTGTTTTTCAACTATCAGGTCTGCCCCAGCAGCTGGAGCCCCTGCGCCAGAGGGAGGAAGTCAGCAACCTCCCAATCTCACCAGCAACCGCCGTCTGCAGCAGACGCAGGCACAGGTGGATGAGGTAAGTGAAAACACAAGCAACACACACACACACACACACATTTACTTAAGTAACCTTTTGGGGCAGGGGGGAAATACTTTAAGGAGTATTTTACTACGCTGTACTTTTTACTTTCACCTGAGTAACTTAGTGATGAAGTGTCACTACTCTCACTCGAGTCAAATTTCTGGATTCTCTAACCAGAAAGTTACTAGACACAGACACTTTTTGTCAAAATTGTATATTGATTTGCAAAAATGTTTAATTTGGCTGATTTTTTAATTTTTATTTTGGTCTTTAAAATACCAAAACATCCACAAAATTGAGTATTTTTGTTCGTTTGATGATGAAATTTTTACATTTTTAATGATTGATGTTTTGCTCTACTACAATCTACAGTCGCGTTTTTTACCAAATACATTTTTATTCTTACTTGAATGATTTCTTGGTCTCTTACTTTAGTACACTTTTTAATTACCCTACCCACCTGTGGATCAGTTTTGGCGACATTTATCGTTATTGTAACTCAGACTCACGTCGGCCCTCGGTCTGGATCTCTGAGTAAAGCTTTTGCCGCGTCTCTTTCCTCAGGTGGTGGACATCATGCGCGTAAACGTGGACAAGGTTCTGGAGCGTGATCAGAAGCTGTCAGAGCTGGACGACCGGGCCGATGCCCTGCAGGCTGGAGCCTCTCAGTTTGAGACTAGCGCTGCAAAACTGAAGAATAAATACTGGTGGAAGAATGCCAAGGTGAGGAAACGGCGGTGCGCTCGCTCAGTTAGAACGCAGCATTGACGTTAAGTAATATTAACAAGATTAGATTATGGCGTGTTGAAAACTGTTCTGCTTTTCTAACACGTGTTTCTTTCCCCCCAAAATTTGCTGACTGCAGATGATGATTATCCTGGGTGTGATATGTGTGATTGTCCTCATTGTCATTATTGGTAAGAAGCCTTTTCTTTCCTTCTGTGCGCATGTAGTGTCTTTTTAAAATCTTGTAACACTTTGTTCCGCTCCGTCTTTCCACAGTGTACTTCAGCACCTAAGAAGAGTCGCTCCTACCCCAGTCTGATCCAAGCTTCCTTACTACAGAAGAAAAAAGAAAAACAACCTCTAATTGATGACAAAATTAACCACAGATGAATTAATTTATTGTATGTACGTATATCTCCGCCCCCCAGCTAGCCTCGATATAACACCCCTAAACCCTTCAGGGCCCCCGTGGCTCTCCTCAGCCCCCCGCTCCTTACTTCCACAGCCTCGTCTCTGGATCCCTGTCGATATTTGTTCTGTGAGTGTGTGAGCCTGTCTTCTTTCTGAGTACTCTTGGCTTTTCTAACCCTGCCATTCTGGGAACCAAACCCCTCCCCCCTACCTTTGCCCCCCCCAACCCCCCGTGATGATGCAACAACAGAAACCGGTACAACAATTGGCGATAATTGTTACATAGCTGATATATAGAGTTCTTTGTAGAGTTTTATTCTGATATATATCTGATATACTGTTTTGTAGGTGTGTGTGCGTGCGCGTGCGTGCGTGTGTGCATTTTGTACTTTTTATTTTTTGTATTAATTTGATGTATGCTTTAGCGTTGACTACTGCCTATTAATGAAAGTGTGCATCTTGCATGTGCTCTACATCCCCCTCTGATTGTTTTGTTGTCCAATTAGCCTCCTTAAAAAAAAAAAATTCTACCCGTGTTTCTCTTGAAGGCAGACTGAAATTCGCCATCTTACCGACACTTATTTCCTTTTTCGCCAAAAAGAAATGGTTTTTGCTTCTCTTTTTTTTCTTTTTTTGCTACAGCTAATGCTCACTCACTGATGTTAGTGAAATAATACATGACTTGTGCAACGAATCTTTAGCGTTCATCACCTCCGACCCTATCCAACTCTCCTTCTTTTTTTCTGAGAGGGATTCTTAAACAACGACCGTCTGACGTGTCTTTTGGCGCCGTCTTGTTTCTCAGCAGCATGCTTCCTTCGGACAACTTTAAACTGCCATAGTACGGTCGGACCAATGTCTGTAGGTGTCTTTGTTTTTTTTAATTATTATTATTTAAAGATTACGTAGTGTCTTATTTCGAAAACATTCCTTCATTGCAGTCTAGTGCAGATGCTCTTACTGTAGCACATTTAAGTGTGAGTACCTTAAAAACGATGAACGTTGTGTCAGTAATAACAATAGGAGGAATAGTGACTAGGTGTAAAGTTACTTTTTTTTCTTTGCATAGACTGGATTGTCCTAATAATTTTTTTCTACAATTTTACCTTAACATTACACTTATGATAAATTTTGGGTTGGAAATTGATTCTAGCATCGGGGGGAATAACATTCTTCTGCAATGGTTTGTGCAGATTTTGAATCCGTTCAAAACCTGCACAAACGTCCGTGGTTTTGACAGTGCCGCCCGGCTGTTTAAACGGACCGCCAGTGCAGCAGAACCTCTCCACATTAAGAGCACATTTAAAAAAAAAAAAAAAAAGTAAAATTAGCTGGATCGCCAGACAAATGAAGAAAGTAACGCCTAAGAAGAAAAGAAGCAGTAACTCAAAAAAAAAAATTTAAATAAAATAATCATAGCATTCCTAAGACGAGTGTTTTGCTAGCGCTGTGATTCTGTCTTCGTGTTTCTTCTTCTTCTAGTTAATGCCTTTCTTTTTCTTTTTTTAAAATATAATAGACTCTATTTTTTAATCATAGTATATTTTTGTGTGAAGCAGAAGAAGCAAAGAGGATGCAAAGTGTCAAGAGCGAAGCTCCTCTTTCCTTCTGTCTGGTGTGTTTTTGTAGTTCAGCTCCGCGTTACACACTGCCAAGCATTAAAGGAAAACAGTTCTTTTCCTTATTGCGGTTATTTCTTTCATTTGTGCACTCACTGGTTTGGTCTTAAAGTACTTTCAAACCACCTTTTTTTTTTAATTATTATTAGTATTATTATTATTATTATTATTATTCTTGTGTGCATGATTGTGGCTACTTGGTCAGTAAAAGAGCAGGGTAAATCCAAGGCACTCTTGGAGACAAAGAGTTGCACATGTTCCTCAGAGGCGATGCATCAGAACTTCCTGAAGCTAACTATTTGTGGAGAGGGGGATTTAAAAAAACAAAAAAACATCCAACCACAGCAGAATGTCGCTTCCAAGAATTTCCATGTGGTTTGGAATGAAATCAAAGATCAAACAGTTGTCTGTTAAATCTGTTAACATTTTTTTTG